GTCATCTATATATCTGAGGTTATTGATATTTCTCCCAGCAATCCTGATTCCAGCTTGTGCTTCATCCAGCCTGGCATTTCACATGATGTACTCTGCATATAAGTTAAAAAGGCAGGGTGACAATATACAGCCTTGACTTACCCCTTTCCCGATTTGGAACCAGTCTGTTGTTCCATGTCTGGTTCTAACTGTTGCTTCTTGACCTGCATACAGGTTTCTCAGGAGGCAGGTCAGATGGTCTGGTAATTCCCATCTCTGTAAGAATTTTCCAGTTGTGATCCACACAGTCAAAGGCTTTGGTATAGTCAATAAAGCAGAAGTAGATGTTTTTCTGGAACTCTCTTTAATTTTTCGATGATCCAGTAGATGTTGGCAATTTGATCTCTGGCTCCTCTGCCTCTTCTAAATCCAGCTTGAACATCTGGAAGTTCACAGTTCACATATTGCTGAAGCCTGGCTTGGAGAATTTTGAGCATTACTTTACTAGCATGTGAGATGAGTGCAATTGTGTGGCAGTTTGAACATTCTTTGGCATCGCCTTTCTTTGGAATTGGAATGAAAACTGACCTTTTCCAGTCCTGTGGCCACTGCTCAGTTTTCCAAATCTGCTAGCATGAGTGCAACACTTTCACAGCACCATCTTTTAGGATTTGAAATAGCTCAACTGGAATTCCATCATCTCCACTAGCTTTGTTCACAGTGGTGCTTCCTAAGGCCCAGTTGATTTCACAATACTTTGTATAGAAAGGGATTTTATGCTGTGACCTCAACCATGCGGGTGGTGCTGATGGGATTTCAACACCAGTCTAGGGAGAAGGGCCCTGGGATCCACACAGTAACCTCTGGGGAAGCCTGGAGGACGGAATGCGGCCGCGGGTCGGCGGCGGGCTGTGCGGGACTTCCCGTAGGGTAACGTCTACATCGAGGCGCTCAAGTCAGCAGTTCCCGGGATGCCTGGAGTGGGGCAGGGAGGCGACGCTGAGGACCCACCGGGGGACGAGGTCTCCGAGTGGGTCCGACCAGGTCGCCCGGCTCGCGCCCCCNGAGTAGGGCGGGCCCTGGGGGACGAGCGGCGTCGGCCGCGGGCGGGGGCCGCCGGGCTCGGCGCGGCCAGGGAGTTGGTGCGGGCGCGCCGCCTCCGACCCCGCCCCGCCGCGGAGAAGGTGCGGGCGCAGCCGCCCGCCCGTGGGGTAACAGGCTTCTCCCCCGAGGCAGGGTCGCGCCTGAGGCGGGGGGCGGCGGGGACAAAAGAGGCCCCCGCGTTTGCACCGAAGGGCTCTCGTGCAGGGCGAGGCCGAAATGAATCGCGCCCGTGCGGCGCCCGCCGGGCTTCGGGGCGCACTGCCCAAGCCCCGATCCCCGGGCGGCGCCGAGTCCCGGTCTGGCCCGTTCTGGGTGGGACTGGGCCCGGTTCCGTGGTAGGTGGACCGCGGCATCCCCACCCCCGGCTTTTTCTGAGCCGCTGCGTGCCTTCTTTCTGTGGAAGCGTACACACACCTCAACCTGTTGTTCTGCGCCGAGAATGTTCTTTCCCCCTCCGGGGATGGCTCTCAGAAGCGGCTCCTCCGCTCTTCTGGTCCCTGCGGCCTCTCTCTGCTCCCCGGAGGTGGACACGCCGGCCGAGCCCCGCCCCGGGCAGTAGCTGGCCCATTCCCGGTGTTAAGCGTTGCGACCCTGCCCGGGCCTCTGGTCTGACGCAGGCCAGCTCGGGCCTCCCGCTTGTATCTTAGGGGCCAGGTGTCTTCTCCGTGCTGGGAGCCTTAGCCAGGCCCAGGAGCAGCCCCCTCTTAGCAGGGCTGTAACAACGTAGCACCTGGGCACAGAGTGATCTTGATTCCCCATCTGTTTGAGTCTTCCTGAGTTGAAATCAGCTTCTTATTTTGGAACAACTTTATGTTTACACAAGAGTTGCAAAGGTAGTCGAATCGCCCCAACCTGCGCCCCAGCCGCTGCGCCCATGCTGTCACCCGGCGTGGCCACGGTGAGACTGCCAAAGCTGAACACTGATAGAAGTACCTACCTTTATAGAGCTCTTTATGTAGAGAGCCTTTGATCCCTTCCTGCCTTGGTCAGGGCCCACCAGGATCCTTGGGGGTGGGGTGAGGTGGGTACAGACAAGGACCTGCCACAGAGTCTCTTTTCCTCCCGGAAAACTGATGAGTGGAACGTAATTTCAAATATGAAGAATCAGTGTAAGTCCTCCTCCTCATCTCTGACATTTTACTCCAGAGTTGTTTGGTTTTAACTTTTTAGAAAGTGGTTAGATTGGCTGATCAGCAAAACCTGCAGGAGAGGGGGGAGAGGGGAGGACGGAGGAAGCTCTGGACGCCAGGTCCCTGGAGGCTGAGGCTCCAGGGAGCACAGTGTGGAGGATTTGGTCCAGCTGGCTGCTGGCTCTGCTGAAGGCCTGTCACTGGCCATGGAGTCAGGCCACGTCCGCTCCCAGGAGGGCTCAGGCCCAGGGGTCCCTATGAGCACTGTTAGGCGTGGACACAGCCCGTGGCCACCACGCAGGCTACCGACTCCTGGAGCGATTCTCGGGGCGCCTGGGCCCATTTTACAGGTCGGGCCCCAGTTTGGCTTGAGGCCCCCCAGCCGCCCCTCCTCTGGCTTGGCTCAGTCTTGGTCCAACCGAGTCCCCGCCCCGCCCCTCAGCTGCACACCCTCTGCTGAGCACCAGCCCTGTTCAGACTCCTCTCTGTGTCTCTGGTTTTTCCTATCCCTTCCTTTACAAAAGAGGTGCTTGATGTTTTACCGAGCATGAGGTTCCTAAATTGGGTAAGGGTCCCAGCGTCCTTCCTGCCTCTTGGAGCTGAAGCGAGGCCAGCCCTGCCTATGTCTTCCCTTCTGAGCAGGAAGTGGGCGACCTCTGCTAGGAGGCACCCGAGGACACTTAGTTACTAGGGGGAGAAATTAAAACAGTGTATCAGAGGCTCTTAGAAAAGAAAGGCTCCGCGCCAGCACTGCTCAGCACGCAGGCGGCAGGGTGGGGCCGGCAGGACTCGGGGAGGACTCAGGAACCGGGGCGGGCCAGAGGGGCCGGAGCCCACGCCCTCCCGGGAGTCAGCTGCTCGATTCGGGTTCTGCTGCTCAGGCTTGTCTTTGGAATGGTGAAGCACCATATGGACATGGGCCTGATTCATGTTCTCAAAATAAATATCCATGCCTTTTTTAGGAGGAAAACTTCTGGAATCCAGAATGTTGTTTTTGCTCTAAAAACCTACCCCACACTAGCATCTTGGGGGGATGATGGCTGCTCCCCAAACCCAGGGACACGGCGGCCACAGCAGTGAGGCCGGAGGTGCGTTTGCCCTTCAGGTGCTAAGATGGGTCCTGACCTGTCAGCAGGTCTCCTGGAAGAGCACACTGTACTGGTGGCTGGAGAACTTGGCTCCGGGGACGTCCAGCCTGAAATCACAACACACTTCTCTGTGAGCAAGGTCCAGGCCAGGCCCCTGCTCTGCTGGGCCCCCCCGGGGGCAGTGAGGGGGGAGGGCAGGACCGATAGCAGAATGCGCGGGCCGGAGGCACACCGGCCTTTGAAGGGTGACCGTGGGCACCGAGGATGGACCGGGCCCGGCACTCCGGGGGAAGGGGCCTCCAGGGGCCTGGCAGTGTGTGGGAGGCCATCTGCACCCAGAGAAACTCAAAGAAACAGAAAAGCCTTGGCAAGCTGTCACTGTTTTCTTGGCTGTACGGCGTGCAGGGTCTTCGCTCCCCCTCCAGGGATGAAACCCTCGCGCCTGCAGTGGAGGTGCCGAGTCCTAACCCCTGGGACACCAGGGAAATCCCCAAGATGCTGTTTAAACGGCCCTGTCCTGTTAGAGGTCACTCAGTTAGAAATGAGGGGTGTCCCCGTTCTAAGAGTGAAAAGTGAAAGCCGCTCAGTCGTGTCTGACTCTGTGCGACCCCATGAACTGCAGCCCACCAGGCCCCTCTGTCCTTGGGATTCTCCAGGCAGAAGACGAGTGGGCCGCCTCGCAGTCGCCTGTTTAAAGGTGGGGCTTGGTGAAGGCCATCTGGCGGTCTCTGCCCAGATCATCGGGTCGTGCTTCTGCCTCGAAAGGGGCCCAGGGCTCTGAAGTTGAGTTACCAGGGCTAAAAGAGAAGGTCCCACATTTAAGGCTCCTTTAAATACAGAGAAGACTCGGGTTAAGACACGGAGATGGATTTGGGGTCTGGGAAACTTCCTGCTTGAGGCTGGGGTGCCCCCCCCAGCCGGCCCCCCACCCCAAGGACACACCACCCAGTGTGGCTTGCGGCTTCCCAGGCACTGTGAGCTGGGAGAGCCTAAGAGAGCAGGAGGCGTGGAGAGCCCGGGCCTGATCGGGGGGCCAGTGGGGGTGGTCCTCCTCCTGGACCACCCCCGCCCAAACCCTTCCAGCCCCGTTAGTTCTTCTCAAACCGACCGAGTCCTGGTCCAAGAGGTATAAGTGCTTCCCGGTCCAGTTACTGCTTCCTTTTCAGACCCGGCCAGGGGCCCCGAGAGGGTCAGGAAAGCCCCCCGGCCCCGCAGACACTCGGACCCGGTCTGTCCTGCTGGCTCCCGGCTCATCTGCGCTTGCAGGTGGGGACACACACTTCCTATACTGTGTGTAGTGCTTTCTATATTGTGACTTGAACTGTATTCAACAGTGACTTTGAGGAAGATGCATATTCACAGTATCTCCAGTCCTGCCCATGTTGTAGCTCCCATGTTCAGTTCAGTCGCTCAGTCATGTCCGACTCTTTGCGACCTCATGACCCGCAGCACACCAGGTCCCCTGTCCATCACCAACTCCCAGAGCTTGCTCAAACCCATGTCCATCGAGTCAGTGATGCCATCCAACCATCTCATCCTCTGTCGTCCCCTTCTCCTCCTGCCCCAATCCCTCCCAGCATCAGGGTCTTTTCCAATGAGTCAGCTCTTCGCATCAGGTGACCAAAGTATTGGAGTTTCAGCTTCAGCATCAGTCCCTCCAATGAACACCCAGGACTGATCTCCTTCAGAATGGACTGGTTGGATCTCCTCGCAGTCCAAGGGAGCCTCGGAGCCTTCTCCAGCACCACGGTTCAGAAGCATCACTTCTCCGGCGCTCGGCCTTCCTTACGGACGTAGGGCTGTGTTTTGCCCCTCAGAGTTGTGTGCGAGGGGTTTGGGTCTTGAATCTGCTCACAGGCCCTTTGTTGTCACACTGCTGCGTGCCAGCGTGTTTTCACTCTCAAGGCTTCTCCTCTGGCCTCGTGGAGCTGGCTGGGGCTCCTGGGAGCGCTGAACGACGGTGTCGAGGCTCCGGGCTTAGTCCCCATGCTTTCCAACTTGTAACACTGAGTGATGTTTACCAAGAGTGGTTTTGGTTCTTTCTTTGGTACATGCCTCGAAACAGTTCTCTTTACGATCTTAGTTTGTACGGAATGTTTTTTAAATTGTGAATGGATATGAAATTTTTCCAAACTTTGTTTTGTTTTTTTGGCATCCATTGAGATAAATAGAACAACTAGTGGTAAATTTTTCTAATGTTAAATCATCTTGCACTCTTGTGATAAAGTCACCCTAATTGTAGAGTCCGGTAACACAGGGCTGGACCCCCTTTGGTCAGTATTACACAGGATGTTTGCATCTTGGTTTCTTGGAAGAAACAGTGAATTCCATTCTTGTTTTTCTTCTTTGGCTGTGCCGCAGGACTTGCGGAGTCTGTTCCCGAACCACGGATTGAACCTGAGCCCCGGCAGTGAAAGTGCTGACCCCCCAGGCAGGGGTTTGGGGTCAGGTTAAGTCACATGAAACGGTGGGAAGGTGCTTCCTCTTTCTCTTCCCTGAAAGCAGTCTCACCAGGTTGGAACAACTCCTCTCTGGAGGTGCAGTCAGCTTCTCCAGGGAAGTTCTTTGCTATCAGTGTGTGTATTGGAGGAGGAGAATTTTTACCCGTGACTTGATTTCGTGTTGACAGGATTATTCAGCTTTTCTATTTCTTCATGAGTCATATTTTTAAACTTTTTTCCAGGAATTATTCTGTGTGGTTCACGTCTTCAACTATGTTGACTTAAACCGACCGCAGCACCTGTTCCCCGTGAGTCTTGTCCACGGAAGACGCCGCCCGTGTGCGTCTCTGGCAGCTGGCTGAGCTGACAGCAGCGCCTCTGCCTTGTTGATCCTCCGCAGGGGATCCGTGTTCCCTTTTCTCTTTCCTTAGTTTTCTTCCCTATTTCTTTCCTTTCTTATGTTTTCTTGGGGTTGTTTTCCTGTCACTTCTCAACGTTTTTAAAGATGGGTGTTTAGCTCATTGATCCTACCTGTCTTCTGACATCCATCCTGTAAGAGTCTGCGTCCCCGTTAAGTTCTGATAATTATTTTTGTTTGAAAGTGAGAGTCAGTCATGTCCGACTCTGCGACCCACGGACTATACATCCGGTCCAGGGAATTCTCCAGGCCAGAACACTGGAGTGGGTAGCCTTTCCCTTCTCCAGGGGATCTTTCCAACCCAGGGGTCAGACCCAGGTCTCCCACATTGCAGGTGGATTCTTCCCCAGCTGAGCCACAAGGGAAGCCCAAGAATACTGCATTGCAGGTGGATTCTTTACCAACTAAGCTATCAGGGAAGCCCATTTGATTGTTCAAAATATTTTCTAATTTCCATTATTCTTAGACACATGGGTATATAGAAGCATATTTCCTAAATTCTAAGCACATGAGAACTTTTCTACATCTCATTACTGACTTCTAGTTTGTGTTGTGGTCTGAGAACATGCCGAGTTCAGCCCCCGATGTGTTGAGGTGCGCTGTCAGTCACGTTCTCTGAGTGTTCGTGTGCAGTAACTGAGCTGGGGTCTCTGTCCTCAGACGGTTTGCTACATGTGCTTTAGTTCCAGTTTCTTCATCAAAATGAAGTATATCTGCCCTCATTTGTATTGCTCTATCAGTTAGTGGGAACTGCAGTAGAACATATATTGTATACTTATATACTATGTAATTATATGTAGTATACTAAAATATATAAACCATTATGTACACTGTGTTTATATACTACAATCACTAGTCCTATTTTGATTATAAATTTATCTCAAAGTTTTTCCAATTTTTGGCTTACACATTTTGAGACTGTTACGAAGTAACAAGATTCACACTTGCTACTTATCTCCCTGCTGTTTCATCTAATGAAGTTTTTCCGTTAAATGTTGTTATCTAAGGGAAATATGGACATATTTAATAGTTTTCTATTATTTTAATGCCTCTTTCTACCCATTCACTACTTTACCTTCCTTGTTAACTTTGACTACACTGTGTTTGGTTGGCGGTGTCCGTTTCAGGCGTGCGCAGTGACAGGCAGTGTCTGACTCTCCTCCCAGGTAGCTCATTAGAGAGCGTCTGCTGGAGCCCCCTGGGCCGCAGGCGTAGGTCCTTGTCGACTGTTTTACATGCAGTCAGTCGTGTGTGTGTGCGCGTGTTAACCCAAACTCCTAATGTATCCCTCCCCTGCCTACCTCTCCCCTTTGGGAACCATGAGTCTGTTTTCTGAGTTGGTTTCCGTTTTATAAATTAGTTCACTTGTATCAATTTTTAGATTCCACCTATAAGTGGTATCTTACATTTGTCTTTCTAACTTTGCTTGATGTGACAGTCTCTAGCTCAGTTCACGCTGCTGCCAATGGCATTATCATGAAAGACGTGTGCGTATATATATGTATGTACGTGTGTATATATACACACAGACACCCCCCACATCATGGTCACCCACTCCCTGTCAGAGGACACTCAGCTGCTTCCATCCTTGGCTGTTGTTAACAGCGCTGATGTGAATGCTGGGCTGCATGTATCCTTTTGAAGTAGTTTTCTCCGGACACACGCCCAGCAGTGGGATTGCTCGGTTATATGGCAGCCGTATTTTTAGTATGTTTTAGGAACCCTCCACACTGTTCTCCTCAGTGGCTGCACCAGTCTGCACCCCCAGCAACAGTCGGGCTCCCTCCTCCCCACCCCGTCTCCAGCCTTTGTTATTTGTGGTCTTTTTGATGGTGGCCATTCCAACAGCTGTGAGGCGCTATCGCTGTGGTTCTGATTTGCATTTCTCTACTGTGACGTCTTTCCGTGAATCACGTACATCGGCAAGTAATTGTGACCACAAGTCTTTGTTGCTACCGTCCAGGTTCCAGCTTTCTCTTGTTCTTTCTGTGCCTTAATTAAAGGTGTGTGTCTTGTAAGCAGCATCGAGATAAAGTTTGTTTTCTGTCTAGTCTGAAACCTTCGACTCAGCACGAGTCCCCTTGCGTCCCACCTGCGCACGGAAATGTCTGGGTTTCCATCTCGCTTGGTTAGGCTTCTTGCTCTTCCCCAGCACGTTCCCTCCTTCCTCACCTCCCTGCACACGTTTGGAAGTGACACACCTCTTCTTGTTCGTACAGATGTTTCATCAGAAATTACACTTATCCTTCATTTACCAGAATGTACCTTTAATCCACACACGTAGCTGCCTTTTGGACACCGCTCTGACCATGCCTCCGCCTGTTCTCTTGCTCACCTGTCGCAAGCAAATCTCAGCACTCCAGGAGGCAGTGCTCTCTGCCCTCCTGCACACGTAGCCTCTTCACTCAGCACCCTGCCTTCGTGGGGAGTCTGGAGTTGGGACCTGAGTGGGCTTTCCTTGGTTCTTTCATTTCTGTCTGAAGCACATCCTTGAATCTCCTCCAGTGACACTTTGCTGAAGTCAAGCTGCTCATCTGCAAACGTCAGGTCCTGGGGTCCGGGGCAACACTGCCACTGCTGACTCCCGGGAGAACAAGGTCGCCCTTCCGGGCCTTAGGGGTGCCTCCCCACCGCCTCCACCTTCTGCTGGTGGACTCGGAAGTTGCTCTGTTGGAAGGTGACCTTCCCTTCCCTTCTGGCGGTGTCTCAGACATCCCTGCGTTTGTTCAGTGTTGTGCAGCCTCACTATCACGCGATATGGTGTGGCCTTCTTTTCACTTACCTCTTCGGGTCTGTTGGAGATCAGTCTGCACTGTGGCCTTGAGTTCTGGCAGCTCCACGTCTGCTCTCGCGTCTCCTTCCGGGGTCCTCAGACACGCCTGCGCTTTTGGTGTCAGATCCAGTGTCACTGCCAAGTGCAGCGGCATACAGACCGTTCCCCATGTTCTCTTCTAAGAGTTGCCCTGTTCTAGTTTACGTCTGGGCCTGGCCCCCTGAGCGCACTGCTGTATGTGGCGGCGTCCTTTTCACAGGCTGCTCTCTTGTCTTCCTGGCACATTTGTTGGAAAGGCTCTGTCCTTTCCACGTGGAACAGTCTTGGCCCCCTTGTTAAAAATCACGTGACTGTGTGTGTGAGGGTGTGTTTCTGGATCAATAGGTAATTTCCTAGAGACCAGTACGGGACCCACCACACATGCATAGGCATCGTGGTGCTTGGAGCCACAGTTCCATTACTCGGGGCAGGATGGGCCCAGCGCTCCTGGCGTCTCTCAGATGGGAACTTTGTCGGCTGCTGTCTCTTCCACGTGTCCTGAAGCCAGAGGACAGAAGACGTATTTGAGCTACTGTTTTCTCAAATTATTTATGTGTGAAAGTAGTTCACCGGCCACTCCCAACTAAGTGGAGAGTGGCCGAGCCGTGGTCGGGAACTAGCCTTCTTATGTACATTTACTAGGAAAGAAGCAGATCTCTAGCGTCTCGGACGGCACTGTCCCCGTCTCTAAGGCAGGCGTCCTGAACCAGGCGCGTCCTGTTGCGGCTCTCTCTCTGTGACCCTCTGCTGTGTGTTGACAGGTGGTGGCGTTTCTCTCACCCCAGCGGTGTGGACGGAGCCACACGCCCTCCGAGCAACAACGGCTCTGGCGTGCATCTTCCAGTGTTTGTTCTGTTGGAGAGCCCAGCAGAGCCGCAGCTCCTCCCACGCCAGCCCTGAGCTGAGCCAGGAGTGCCCCGCGATGGTGAAGATGACCAAGTCCAAAACTTTCCAAGCGTATCTGCCAAGCTGCCACCGAACCTACAGCTGTGTCCACTGCAGGGCCCACCTGGCCAACCACGATGAGCTGATCTCCAAGGCAAGTGTCTGCTCGCGAAACCAGGGGCCACAGAGGAGAGGAGCATGGAGCCTCCCAGGCGGGCCGGCCTTGACTGCCTGCAGCCCCATGGGCGGCGCTGTGGGAAGTCGTGTGAGTGTGCGGCTGAGTCGTGGTCTTGGCTGTGACCCTTCCCCGTGGCGGGTCCAGGGGTTGGCTGCTGGGTTTGCACACACACCCTCCACCTTTGCAAACTGAGGCCTGGGCTGCAGGCCGCTTGGCTTCCAGGGCCAGGAGCTCATTCCTGGGTGATAGGCAAGAACCAGAAGGTTCTGACCCGTTTGCATTCCTGGTTATTTTTGAGGTCTGTCCGCCCACTGGGTCCCTTGAGCCTTGTACCTGGGTGACGAGTCCCCATCTAGTGTCCCCTCCAGCTCCCATGGCCGTGCAGCTGGGACTGGCCGGTGGTTGGAGACGCACAGATGCCCTGTTCTGCCTCCTTGGTCGTCCTGGAACGAGTGACCGTGCTCCAAGCTTTCCTCCCAGAAAGGGGCCGCGGCTTTCTTGTAGTTCCCATGGAAAGGCATGGAAACCGCCCCGTCTACTGGAGGCTGGCATGGGCTGTCCTGGGCACAGGCTCATGGGCGCTCTGCCCGGCGGCCCCTCCGCTCTCCCCCAGGGCAGGGCTCGCATCACTCAGCTCTGACGGCGACCGGCCCTCTCACACCTCTTCCTTCTCTGCAGTCCTTTCAGGGAAGTCAGGGACGAGCCTACCTCTTCAACTCAGTGTGAGTACTGTGCCGCTGGGGCCGCCCAGGGCTGGGGCAGCGTCGGCTCTTGGAGGCCGGGGGGTGCCCCCGGCTGGGGTCTATCTTTATTTCCCTAGAGACAGCAAACTCTGGGTGCCTCCTCACCACCTGCGGCATCCTGGGTTCTCAGCGGGGAAGCCAGAAATTGTGCCTTCTCTTCTGAGGGGCAGGGGACAGCTGGGGAGTCAGGGAGGCACCCCTGGGTCCCAGGAGCAGCCGGCGGGTGGAAAAGCGGGCCTGGCCCTGCAAGGGTGCCAGCTCCTGCCCCCCACAGGGTGAACGTGGGCTGCGGCCCCGCGGAGGAGCGCGTCCTGCTCACCGGCCTGCACGCTGTGGCCGACATCTACTGCGAGAACTGCAAGACCACGCTTGGGTGGAAATACGTGAGTCACCATGGAGACAGCAGGCCGAAAACAGGATGGGTGCCGACCATCAAGGAGGGTCCACAGGCCGGGGGGCGGGGAGGCTGCGCCCACTGCACGGATGACCACTGGCCGGGCGCAGGCAGAGGCCTGTGGATGTGACCCTGTGGTCATGCTCACAGCTGACCCACCTGGCGTGCTTGGCCCCCACCCCAGACCCACCTGGGCCCATCGTGGGGGGGCAGGGGGGTGTGAGGAAGACAGGCTCCCTGCACCAGCACACCCCACCCCACCCCGGCTTCTCTCCACCACTTGTGACCCCGAGTCCCAGGAACGAGGTTTGTGCTGACCGTCCCTTCTGAACCGCCCCGCCGGTCCCAGATCAACACACAGCATCACCGTAGCCCCCACACCCGACGCCCGGTCCCCAGGCAGCACCACACAGGCCATGTCCGGGAGACATGACCCTATCCTTCCTTTCTTCGCCGGGTGTAGAAAGAAGTTGAAAAACCAAATGGATTCTATTCTGAAACTCTCTCTCTCTTCAAGGAGCACGCCTTTGAAAGCAGTCAGAAGTATAAAGAAGGAAAGTTTATCATCGAGCTCGCTCACATGATCAAAGACAATGGCTGGGAGTGAAGTGGACTTCCCGTCCCCCTGGAGCGTGCCTGAGACCGCCAACGCCGAGGAGCTGGGGAGCGGCCGAGGGCGGGCGACCCCCCCCGCCAGCCCCCTGGGTGAGGCAGCCCCCGCAAGCTGTGTCCTCTTCACGCACATGGTTGTTTCTGAAATGTTCCAATGACCTGTTTCTAATTTCTCAAGATCCAGAGAAAGACTTAATCGACTGATGACTTGTCCATCTAGTCCATACATCTTGTAACCAGTGCTTTTGAGGTAGTTTGGCTGTGTTCTGTTTTGATGGAACCAGACTGAGTCCCCATGGACCCCAAGGTGGCCTCTCTGGAGAGCCAGCCCTGCTCGTGTCTGAAGGAAGGGGACCACTTCTCACTGACTCTGGGACCCGCCGCGTGGTGGTTCTGCGTGCAGGCCGCCCAGGGCAGTGCTCTGCCAGGAACCTCCCTGACGGCCGTGCGTCTCTGCACCCAGGGTGCTTTTTAGCCTTGTTCAAAAAGCAAAGGGCGCCGCTGGATAACACTTTAGATGAGCTAGAAATAGAGAAACGTGTCTGATAGAACACCCTGTTTGTTTAAGCCAGTAGCTTCCTTATCTAGAAGGCGAGTGAGCGAGTGGTCAGCAGACACGACCCCGGGCCCATGCACAGGCCCTGAGTGGCTGGCCCGCAGAGTTCAAGCTGATCACACTGGGCTGAAGGAAAGTGGACTTCCTTTTCTACTCTGATATACTTGCAGAAAAAATTATTTTTCCTATATTTGAAAAGAGGCCAGAACAGGATAAACTTCCAAATTAAGATCTGCCACTGTTTTCACGTTTTCCACAGAAAGTTCCAGTTGCAAGACAGGTGTAAGCTCTGGTTGCTCGGGGGCCCCAGCCCGCCCTGTTCTGCTCGAGTGCCCAGGTGCTGGGCCTTTGCAGGGCTGGGCTGCATGTGGCTTCTGGCCAGTCTGCAGAGAGTGGAGGCCAAAGGCCCTCTGGCCAGTGAGCCCGGCCTGAGACGCCCAGGATCCTGGCCCCACTATCTCATGGCCACAAACTGGAGACTGGGGGGCTCTCCCCTGAGCCAGGAGCCCCGGCTGGTGCTCCTGGCTCAGGGGAGCTTCCTGTGGGTGCCCTATGACCCACAGCCTGGACCATGGGGAGCCCTAGGCTCCCCCACCCCAGGGTGCTGGGTCATCCACGAGGGTGCCCAGCAGGCCGCCTCCCGGCAGAGCCCCGGGGCCTGGTGCTTGGAGCCCCTTGAAGGCCCAGTGGGCACCCGCCCTGAGGGCTGAGTCCGAATCCCTGAGAGCCAGCCTGAACCGGTGGCTGGGCGCTCCTCCAGCAGATGCTTCTGGACGCCGAGGAGCTGCCTGCAGTTCCCATGTCCACTGCACTCACATGTGGAGCGTGTATTCTGGGCTGTCTGTGGGGGCGTGGCAGCCTTCCTCCCCATGGCACAGGATGGCTTCGAAGCTGATGCTAGCCAAGGCTCTCGGCCACTTTCCTTGTGGGTCTTCTGCAAAACCCGAGCTCCTTTTGAAACCAAACGAACTGACTGTGAGCAACTTCAAGGACCGACGCTCCTGAGGCCACAGCCAGACGTGCGGGTCAAGTGCTGGAACGCTCCCCTTTAAGTTCCTACACGGCTATCACCCCACGACTTTTATTTATTTATTTTTTCCTTGGGAAGAATGGGAGGTGACGCCAGGATTATAAATGTTGTCCACTACGTAGTGTTCTCTGCACATTTCCTTTAGAAATGGGGTTTAGCTCTGGCTGTTTTATAAGTGTGTGTGTGTATATATATATATATATATATAGTATTTTCATACCTTAACACTTACTCTTGATGGCATCTGTCAGCTATTAGGAGGGATCAGAAATGGGAATTGTTTCAAAAGTCCTTTACTTTACCTGATGCCCTCACCAGGGACTTACAATCCAGAGAAGTACAATTTCAGCTCCAAAATGACTTAAGAGACGTAAACCATCCCTCACCAGAGGCCCTGGGCAGGCCCATCCCGTCTGTGGAGCTGTGAGTCTGCAGCCCGGGGTGGCTGGCCTTCCGTCAGGGCAGGTGGGCCCGGCTGCTGGAGAGATGGACAGGCGGCCAGGCCAGCCCAAAGGCACGCTCCTCAAGCAGGACTGCCTGTGTCTGGCCCTCCATGCTCTGTCTGCATGAGCTTCCAAAATAAAGCTTCCAACGTTTGCTGCCTCTTGGTGAGTAGCATTGATGGTCTGGCCGGGTAGTGAGGGGCCCGCGCTGGCGGCCTCCAGAGCTGCTGCAGGTGGGCACCCCCACTCCAGGAGCCTCAGGCAAGCGCCTCACACACCTCCTCCCCATGACCCCGGCTCCCAGGGACAGAGCCGTTCAGCGGTTCCCAGCCAAGGCGGCGCTGGTGCCGGGTCCTGAAGACTGAGGGAGGGCGGCCTGACCACAGGCATGGGGTAGGACGGTCCCTGTGGAGCCCAGACCCCAGAGCAGTCCCGGCGGGCCTGGAGTGGGGGAGGGACCACCGGGCGTGTGGAGCTGTGGGCCCAGGCCCAGCAGCAGAGACGGGGAGGAGCTACAGGACCTCCTGGAAGCGAGAGCAGGTTGCACTCGCTCCCGGGAGGCCTTGGGTGAGAAGAGACCGGACAGAAGTAGGCACAGAGCCTGGCAGGGGGGTCAGCCATGCTGACTTGGGGGCTCAGTGCTGAAAGCGGGTGAAGACTGCAGGGAGGCTGTGAGCCTCCCAGCGTGAGCGGACGTGGTCCTGGGAGGCGGCTGTCCTGAGCGTCTGTGATGCTTCTGGAAGCCGAGGGGGCGTGTCCAGGGGGAGGGCTGCGGGGTGGCGGCATGGGAAGGACGGGCCCTGCAGCTCCTCAGCGGGGAGAGGACCCCCAGAGCAGGTCACTGGTCAGTGCGAGCACAAGGCCGGGTCCCCAGGGAAGGGCCCCCACTCAGCCCCGGCCAGGACAGCGGGAGCCCGCGGGCTTCACCCTCCTGATAGCAGAGGGAAGAACCTGGGGCTGGGTGGGCCCAATGAACCCGAGGCAGAAAGAGTTTCTGGACAAAACATCGAGGCTCTGCCCCCCCGCCCGAGTCAGAAGGTCTGGACTGAGATCCCAAGTGACCACTGGCTGGAGGACCACACCAAGTGGACCGGCCACCCTGAGGTGACAGGCGGGGGGGCGTGGGGGTCGGAGACAGCCCTTCCTCTCTGGAAGTCCGAGATGCGGAGACAGGGCTGGGCCAGGCCACTCGCCCACGGAGGGAGCCAGGAGAGGACTCGGGCAGCAGCCGGAGCTTTATTGAAGGGTGGACGGTCGACTCTGCGCACCCAGCCCCGAGTCCCTACTGGCTCCAGCGCAGCGGCCGGCTGCTACCACGAGCTGAAGTCCCCGAAGCCACGGCTAGGCTTCTTCTTGGCCACGGGCACGGCTGCACTGCTGGACGGCTCCTCCTCTGCCACCCGCTTCCTGGGGACACAGCGGACACGAGCTGCCGTGTGCACGCGGACCCCCAGCGAGGGGCCCCCAGCGAGGAGCCCCCGCACGTCCCAGGGCCGCACACGCCCCGACCTCCCAACTGTCTCCCAGCTGACACTGCGGTCCCGGAGCCTCCGTCTGACCCCCACCGACCGGCTCTGACCCCGGGACGTGGGGCGTGGGCACCGGGGGAACTCACGTGACTGCCGGGCTGATGTACTTGCCCACGCCCTGGCGGTATGCCTGGGGGCCCTGGCTCCCCTGGGGGGACTGGCTGCTCTTGGCCGTGCTCTCGGGGGCCGCCGCCTCCAGCTGTGTCTTCCTGCGCTCCTCGGCGATCTGTGGGGGCCGGGTGGAGGTGGGCTCAAGCGCTGGCCCAGGTGGGGCTCCTGGGACAGAACCAGGCCAGCTGCGGGCACAGCTGTCCCCCAGCCCCTCCTCACCTGAGCGTCGGCCTCTTCATAGGGGTCCACGAACACGACGGTGGAGTCAATGCGGATCTCCTCCTGGTGGGGGAGGTGGGCGTGAGCAGGCACCCACCCAGCTCCAAGCCCAAGGGGAGGACCTCTGCTCTGGGGCACAGACCTTAGGGCGGTCAGTTTTGGGGTCACTCTCCACGTTCTCCATGGCCGTCAGCGTGTCAAAGCCCCCAACAACCCTGCAGCAGAGCAATGGGGCGCCTGAGAACGTGCCAGGCGCAGGCACCCCTGCAGGCCGGGGCAGACTGTGAGCAGGCCCGGCCGGCTGTCAGCACGGACTAACAGGCCCCGTCCACACACAGTGTCTGCAGAGGACCCGGCGCTAAGAGTGAACGCTGAGCCCTGGACGAGGTGGAGGGACCGGCCGCGGCCCAGCGCTGAGCTTCATTCCGGACTGCGGAGGGAGGGCCTGCTGGGGGCAGGTCTCAGGTCCAAGGGTCACCCCCCCACCACCTGCGCACAGACTGGACAAGGGGGCACAGGCCTGGCGGGGGGGCGGGGGCCCTACACACACACACACACACCCCGCCCGGCGCCTCCCCCCCCCCAAACACACACACACACAGACCCCGCCCAGCGCCTCCCCCAACACACACACACACACCCCGCCCGGCACCTCCCCCAACACACACACACAGACCCCGCCTGGCGCCTTCCCCCCACTCCACACACACACAGACCCCGCCCGGCGCCTTCCTGCCCCCTCCACACACACAGAGATCCCGCCCAGTGCCTCCCCCCACCCCGAAAACACACACACACAGACCCTGCCCGGCGCCTCACCGCCCAAAGATGGTGTGCTTCTTGTCCAAGTAAGCGCAGGAGCGGAAAGTGATGAAGCTGGGGAAGGAAGGGGTGGTCAGGGAGAGCCCACGCCTCCTCACCCGCCTGCCTCAGCCCCCCAGGCCAAGCTCCCACGTGGAATGGTGCACCATCAAGTCTCAGCCAAGACTGACACACGGACATGGCAGAGAGGCTGACCCCCCGGGGCTGCACCCACAGCCTGCAGGAGGAAAACACATGACCCCAGTGACAGACGTCCCAGAACACGCAAACTCTGAAACCTCGCCTGGAAAAGCAGGCCCGAGAGCCGGATCAGGTGACGACACCACTCACCTGACCCTGCACAGCGCAGCCTGGAGGGACCCAAATCTACCCACCCCTCGAGCTGAGAACATGCGCGTCCACAAAGCCTCGACTCTCTCAGATAAGGGTCCAGATATATGCCACTCAGCAACTGCGCTCCCCACCACCTAGATAGACGTAGTAGTTTTCTCTACATGAGCGACCACCACCCCAGAATGAGGGAAGGAAAGCTCCATTTCCAATCTATCACAAACTACAAAACCCTGCAGGAGCAGCCGTCTGCAGGAAGGCAGGGCACCCATGAGCAGGAACCATGAAGTCACGTTAAAAAGGCAGAAGATGCCCTCGGAAAGCCAAGGCACGTCACCACATGGACGCTCTCACGCTGCCTGACCCTCTAAAACACGTCACACGGCTCTGACTGGACTGACGTCCACGTCGGAGAATAAGCAACCAGGCAGAGAGGAGATAGCGCAGGGACCATGCCCGGGGACGCGCTGCAGGCCCCGTGGACGCTGGCGCAGCAGGGCGGCCCGCAGCCCCTCCTCGTGGTCGGTGGGGGGTGCCTCTTCTGTGGGACGCTCCCCAGGGGCCCCGCTGGGGAAGGTATAGAGAAAAGCCCCGAGAACAAGTCACCCGGATCACTGGACAGGGCCCGTCCTGCTCCACTGGTGCCTAAGACTGCCAGGGGCCAACAAGCCACGCCAGGCCGACGGGCACCCTCACCGTCGGGCAGCGGCAAGGCCCCATCCACCCACAGAGGGGCGGCTCCCAGGCGCTGGACCACACACACGCTGCGCCCCACAGCCTCCCAGACACACACGGAGGCACACCGGGACCCCGCACGGGACAGGCTCCAGAGCAGCCCCAAGCACACACCCGCCACCTTCCCCTGGACTGGGATGTCTGGGAAAAGTGTCTAGAATATAGCTAAGCAGTTCAGTGTTTTTAAAACTCCTCCTTCACAAGGACTGCAGAGGGGAAGCAGCGGGTAAGGCCATGGTGCAGGCCTCCTGCAGTAGCCCCAGGCGCCCCCCGCCTCCTGCTAACAGTGTCAGCCTTCGGCAGGCAATGCCCCAAGTGCGGGGCGGCCCCCTGGCTCGACAGACGCAGGTGGGCACGACCTTCAGGGCGAAGCCGACAGGGAGCCTGCCCCCATCAACTCACAACTGAGACTTGTTGGTGTTGGGCCCTGAGTTGGCCATGCTGAGCACACCACGGCCCGTGTGCGAGAGGTTGGGCCGGAACTCATCTCTGAAGGGCTTCCCCCAGCACGACTCCCCACCTGGAAGAAGAGAGGCCGGGGCAGCAGGACGACCGCAACCTGGGCAGCCCAGAAACCTCGCCACCCCAGGGCCCCCACCCCCAGATGCCCATGGACCCCCAGCCCCAGGGCCTCAGAAAACTCCACGAGGGAGAGTGGGCCGGCCCAAGCAGCCAGCAGGCTGGGGGGGCTTTGGAGGAGCAGCCCCCGGGGCAGAGCTCGACCCCCGCCACTGGGCCCCTAGGTCTGCTGCCCTGGGGGCGGCTGCCTGGAGGCCTGAGCAGGCCTCGCCACAGTGCAGAACAAGGAAACGGGAGCTGGAGGCCATAGGCCATGGCTCTGGGGGCCCCCACGCCCCTCCCCGCACGGCCCATGGTGCAGCCAGCGCTCCCGGGGGCCTGTGCTCCTGGGGGACCGGCGCCAGCACCCACCTGTGCCGGTGCCCGTCGGGTCGCCTCCCTGGATCTGTAGGAAGAGCACGCCAGTGAGGAGCCCCACTCTGAGCCCCCACCTGCCTGCCTGCACCCCCAGCTGCTGCTGGAGACAACAGGGTCTCCCCCACAAGCTCAATGTGGCCAGCTGGGCTGGGGCCCGAGAAGACCCCCGGGGCCCAGGGGGTCACCCACCGAAGGGTCAGCACCCCCCGTGGGGAGGACTCCGCCCACGGGTGCAGGGCAGCCAATGTCGGCACTCACCACAAAGTTGCGGATGGACCGGTGGAAAACGGTGCCATCGTAATACTGCTTCTTGCAGAGCTTGATGAAGTTCTCGCAGGTTTTTGGGGTCTGAAATAAAACCAAGGGCTCCGCTGAGGCACACGGCAGCCTCGACGGTGGGAAGGGCTCCCGGGGCCCACAGCCAGGCCCTGGACTGGTGGGTGCGGCGAGCCTGAGCGCCCGAGGCTGTGTGGAGCTGCGGGGGGCACCCACACACCAGGTCACAGTGCAGCTCCAGGTTGAGGTCGCCCAGGCTGGTGTGCAGACGCACATAGCCCTTCTTCTTCACGAACTGGTAGCGCAGCTCGTCCTCGTCGATGGCCGCTACGAGGAGACGCCTGAGCTGCCCGCCTGCCCCGGGTCGGGGGCCCGGGGGGAGGGCGGGCACCGGGGGCCGACAAGGGGAGGGGAGGAGGGGCTGGGGGACTGTGGGCCCTGACCAGCCAAGGCCAGCAGAGGGCGGTGGGGCCTAGGCGGGGCAGCCCCCCAGCGAGCCTCCAGACACTGCCCTCCCAGACACAAGCCCACTTTCGAAAGGGCACATCACCGCTTGACTACTGGTGAGCCACCGGCAAGCCCACAGAGCCGAGGCGGGTGGGGGGGATGCCCATGCCTGGCCACCGCAGACAGGGTGTGGGGCCAGGCGCTACCTGCTTCATGCGTGGTCTCGGGAACCATGGCGGTGGACGTGAAGGAGGCACTGACCCTCCCAGTGGAGTAGTGGGCCTGCAGGGAAACCATACCGGTGGTCAGTGCAGGGGCCACCCCTCTGCCCCGGGCCTGCCCGTCACCTCCCTCCACCACCCCGGGCACCGGGGGGCCTCCTGGACGGACAGTACGCCCAGCCCATGCCAGCCTCTCCCACAGGGCCCAGGGAGAGCCGCGGCCCTTGGCTTCAACTGTGCTAAAGGCCTGGCTGCCAAGCCAAGTGAGACCTGGAAAAGCATGCGAGACAGAGTGTGGGCGCCTCTGGGGTTCAGAGCACCAGGCACTGGTTTCTTCCTATCAGAAGAAAATCCATCAGAATACTAGGAGCCGCAGTGTTACAGGAAATCGCGAACACACCCTCGTCTTTAGCACACCTGGCTTCCTGGACAACCGTTTGAAGGGGATCTCCCAGCCCCAGGCCCCCAGGCCCTGCCTGGCACGGGGCGGGGGCAGCTGAGGGCCCGACAGGCCAGGGCCCGAGTTGCAGGGCTCTCGCAGCCGACTGGGGCGCAGGGCCAAGGCCGGGGGTGGGACGTGCAGGTGAGGGCTGGGAGGCAGGCACCCCGGGAACACCTGTCCCCCCCGGCAGCTCGGCACCCCTGGGTCAATCTGGCTCCACGTGGCCAGCTCCGCAGGGCCATGCCTGCCCACACCCCAGGCTGCTGTGTGGCGAGGAACCACGGAGGCTGCCGGCAGCCCCCCACCCAGCACCATGCTCCAGGAGTGCCGCCAGGGCAGGGGAGCGGGCCCCCTACTCACAGCGTTCAGCTTGTCCACCTTCGCCTTCTCGGGGACCCTCATAGTGGCCGCCAGCACCTCGTCCCCTTTGAACTCCTTGTAGAGCTCCTGCAGCGTCTCCCGCGTCTCCGTGTTTGTGTTTTTCAAATAGTACGACGGGTCCTGCTTGGCCTTCTCTTCATCTAGAAGACGGCACGGTGGTCCTAAGACCCAGCCGAGACCCAGCACCGTCCCCAGACGCCGTGAGGGGACCGGGGGCCAGAGCCACTGAGAGCCCAGCCGGCCACGAGGCCAGGGCAACCAGCACCTCTGTCCATCACAGCCTCCGGGTCATGACAGCCCCGGGGGAGCCCGTGGTGCGAGCAGGGGCGAGGCCACCGCTATGGCCCAAACCCAGGGTCACAGCCCCACGTCACGCTCCCCACCCTCCTGGGCCCACCTGCCACCCGGCGGCCATCACACACAGCCCAGGCCAGCCCTGCGGTGAGAAACGGACCACCTCTGAGGGGCGCCGAGAGGGTGACCCAGGCCCCAGGGACCCAGGAGAGGAAGCAGCCCTGTGGGGCCAGCAGTCACGCCCTGGCCTGCACACGCTCAGGCCCCGGGGCCCTGATGAGCTGGCAGAGGACGGTGGCACGGCAGCTCATGACATGCAAGGCCCATGCAGGCAGGCTGGGACCCCCAGACTCTGGCGAGGGGTGGGGAGCATCCCCCAGGAGCGCTGGCTCTACCACCCCAAGCCCCTCGCCCCTGGGCAGCTGGGCTGTACGTACCTGGGTCGACTATCTTCATGTTATTCTTAACGTGGAAGAAGTTGGAGACGTTGAACTTGTCCAAGTTGGTGGGATCCTACGGCACAGAGAACGCGTGTGGCAGTGAGCCCAGCACGTCCTCGGCCATGCAGCTGCTGGGCAGGCGGCAGCGGCAGCAGCAGCAGCCGGCAGGGCCCGTGCTTGGGGAGAGGCCGCGGGTCAGCAGGGACGGGCGGGGCTGGGGCCACAAACCCGCGTCGCAGCTGCATGCCTTCTCCCCGCTCACAGCCAACCAGCGCCCCCAGCTGTCAGCGCAGGACACAGGGTGCCTACCTCCACCCTCCCACCACCTGCCGTCCCCTGCAGTCAGCTGCCAGGTGGACCCCACAGTCTGTCCGGGGCCAGAGAGCACACCCCAGGGCAGGGCCGTGCACTGGCCTCAGATCATAACAGGAGCTACAGGAGGACCCAGGTCCCCCGATTTTCTGCAGCTGTGACTCTCATGAGCCCACTCAGGCTCTCGGGACACCTCCAGGCATGCTCCAGCCCGCCCCGGGTCCTGAGCACCTGCCCCAGCCCTCAGGCTTGAAACAGGGAGGTGCTCCAGGTGCAAAGATGAGTCGGGGGTGGCCCCTGCGGGGAGCTGGAAGCCCCAGACTGCAGCGGCGGCCTGTGCAGAGGCCCAGGGTGACACACGGCTGGGAGGGGCTCTGCTGGGCCACGCAGGCAGGGAGCTAGGAGGGCACAGCAGGGCGGGGACCCCCACCTGCAGGGTGATGATGTCCTGTCGGCAGAAGGGCTCGTCGGTCAGCAGGTCTCGGAAGTTCTTGGCCTTGATATTCAGCTGCTCCACCGCCTGCAACCAGGAGGAAGGCCGCGGTCACGGTGCCTCCCTGCACTCCGCAGCTCAGAGACGACCCGGGAGGGGGAAAGGGCAAAGGAGGGGACCAGAGTGTGCTGCAGGAAGCCCACCCCTACGCTCCCAGGGCAGGGACTGGAGCTGGGCTCCCTCCAGGGTCTCTGCGGTCCTGCGGGGCCCGGGAACGAGGACCCACTCAGCAGACAGAGCTGCCTGGTCCAGGCCTGGAGTCCTGCTGCCCCTTGGACCTGTCAGCCCCACACCCCCCACCGCAGTCCCTCAGACCCGGCCCCACGCCCACAGCTCCTGCGCCCCTCCCTGCCCCGCTGCACCGCACCCGCCCACCCACCAGGGCAGCCGGGGAGCCCGTGCAAGCCAACCCCCACAAGGACACTGCAGCAAGGGGACACGTAAAGATGAGAGAGCTGGAGCCGCATGAATCTAAGAACCCTGACCTCAAAGCTGCAGAAGATAAGTACACGAGCATTCTGGAAACTGGACCACTGGCTGGATATCCAACACTAAAGAATTCGCACTAACTTTCTAGGTGTGATGAGGGTGGTCTCATTTCTTAAGTCCTCAGCTTTTAGAGACACGCTCAAACGCTTAAGAGTGAACCGGCACGAAGGCAACGACACCGCGGGGTGGGAGCACAGATAAACTCAGACGCCCAGAAGGCGGCCGGAGTGAAGCTGCGGCTGGAGACGGGCGGCACACCAACTCCACCCTCTCGACCCTGAAATCCTCAACTAAGACACAAAGCCAAGAGGGCGCTCTCGAGATCAAGGGTGGTAAAAAATGTAAAAAGGCACAGTTGAGGGGGACTTTCTGGGGGTCCACTGGCTAAGATTCCGTGCTCCCAATACAAGTTCAATCCCTGGTCCGGGAACTAGATGCCACATGCTGCAACTAAGACATGGCGCAGCCAAATAATTAAAAAAAAAACAAGTTGGATCAGATCTTTCTTGCTCAAATCTCTGAGCCCTCCTGTGACTGTCCAGGGCCTGAGACACTGCTGCGCTCCCCTCTCAGCTAACCCCAGACCACAGCCCCTGCCCCTACTGTGCTCACACCGCGCACGTTAACAGTGGACCCCGCGCCACAGGGCCCGTCACAGCAGGACCTCTGCCTGGAACGCTCTCCCCACACGGCCCCCTCACCCTCACCTGTCCGCAGACTCCCTCTCGAACCCTGTCAGCCAGCCCCGAGCCCCCCTCCCTTGGCCCACTTCACCTCTGACCCCAGGACGGGCCGCGTCCGACTCAGCACAGTGACCTCATTTCCAAAGCCCCCTCCCTCTCACCTCAGGAGAGGCCTGGCCCGTCCTATCTGCATGCGGCAGGCGGGCACTCAGTGAAAGCTTGCGAAGGAGCCACTCTTGGAGCAGGGAGCTCCCCGGCACCCAGAGACTGTCCAGGCCACTGAGGCCGGCTGGCTCCTCACTGCCGTCTGCACCTGCTGGGGGCTGGCCGGCCTCCACGCATTCCCCTGGAACCCACCCGCCAGCAAGCTCTGACCCCACCCTCCACCAGGGCACCTGCAAACACCCAGGCCCATAATGAACTGAGAACAAGGTCAGTGCCCATGGAGGTTGCCTCAACACACAGGTGTCCGACCAACAAGAACAGTGGAGGGCACGCAGGGGTGCAGAGCAGGACCCCAGGACTGGGCCGGGGCATACGATCAATGCTGAGCTGAGCAGAAAGAGCCCAAGAGCCCCCGCTGCCACACCCAGCTGCCCATCTAGGCTGCAGCCTGAGCAGCTCCGTCTCCAGTGACACCTGGACCAGAGCCACGGCCAGGCAGGGCCTGTGCCCCCGGGGGCCCAGCTCAGCCCACACGGCCCAAGTGCCCTGCAGTGAGGGCTCATCCCCATTCCCAGCTTTAAACTACCTGGGCCTCTAGGAAGATACCACAATTTTTTGAGAAACTGAAAGCAAGCGTCTGGCCTGCTCAGAAGGGAACAAGAACTTGGTGAGAGGCGGGACAGCGGGCCCCTCGGGCCCTCCTCGAGCCATCTGGAAAGGGCCACTCACCTTCACTGTTCTTTGCGAAGTTCAACCTGATCAGGGACCTCCCGTCCAGCTTCTGGAAGGAGCAGAATTAACAAAAATAAACACGCAACCCGCGTGAAGAGGCGCCGGGGCCACCGGGCCGGTGCAGCAGGCAGCAGCTCACTCGGGCTCAACTGCCGCCTGGTCTCCCGCCCAGAACAAGGCCAAGGCCCCCTCCGGGCCCGCAAGGCTGCAGCTGTGACCCGGCCCACCCGCCCCACCCTGCCCGTCCCCGGGTCTCCGCGGCACTGGCACTGCTCCCTGGTGCCCCCAGGTCCCTGTCCTCCTCCGGGGCTGTGCCCCGGCCTCTGGTCCTGCTCCGCTACAGAGCCAGCCCCACACTGCAGTGCTAACACCTCCCTGCGCATGAACTGCAGACGCCCCATGAGGGAACGGAGAGCAGCTGGCAGAGCAGAACCGGGCCCAGGCCTGTGACAGGTGTGCAGGGCTGCGGCGGGAGGGACAAATCCCACGTTCTCCACCGCATGGCACGCACGGCACATCAGCAGCGGGGAGCTAGCCTCCACAGAGCCCGTAAGGAGCATCGCCCAAAGGGATGGGACTCCCAGCGCTTCCGAGGGTCTGGGACCTGAATCCCCTTCACACCCACCAGCAGGATCCTGGAATGCTTCGACTCCTCCAGGGCAACATGCCAGGAGCTACCAGGCTGAAAACGCAGCCCCAGGGCCGGCAGACTGGGGGCCACTGCACATGCGCCCGGCCAGCGTTGCTAACAGCAGAGGATGCCAAGGCCTGCGGTGCCACCACAGGAAGGTGCCACCATGATCCACACACAGGCACGTGGGGGGCACACTGAATGAAGGACAGATGTGGGGAAGGACGGGGCCCCACGCGCGCACGTGTGTGTGACACGAGAGCGCTCACCGACCTCACCGAAGCTCCTGCAGAGCCACCTACCTCTCCATTGCTGGGGTTGGTCCCGTACTTCTTAAGCCAAGGAACGATGTTCCTGAAGGAAGAGACGAAGTGTGTCAGTGTCAGAGAGCAGTGGGCCAGAGCTGGGGGCTGGCATGGGGGGCGGCTGCCCGGGCGGCTGGGGAGCTGCTCTGCCTTCACTATCCACCTCACTCTCCACCTCATCCCAGGAACGAGGGTGTTTCTGGCTACACAGGCGTCAGTGGCTGCTTTTACTGCAGTTGTGCACAAACGTGGATAAACAACACTAATGGGAAGACCTACACACATGTTGCTACAACTCTATAGGGAGGTACTGGGCCAGCCTCAAAAACCACACTTCCAGAAAGTTCTGAATGACAAGGGCAAAAAGCTCTCGTTGTGACTATGAATAATGGATCTGGAACCACCCTCTCAGTGTGACCTCTACCAGATTCCCACAAACACCTCCCAGGCAAAGAGGGGCCCAGACTGATAGCGCTGGTCCCAGGCGCTGAGATTACAGCCCATCTTCCCTTCACTCTGAACTGCTTTCCATGTTTTCTGAAATGAGACTGAGCCACAAGGAAACGACAGAAGCCTGCTTCCGCTGGAACACAGACGGAGCACGAGAAAGGCAGGCACCTTGACTACAGCTCTGCCTTCGTGACGTGAAAGCTACACAGCTCGCCAACGTTCCAACAGCTAGGGGGTGTGAATCAGAACGCTGGGGCCCCCAGGCAGAGGTCAGAGCAGTGCTGCCCCTCCCGCCCCGAGAGGCCCACCCAGGGCTCTGGAGGCCGCGGGACCGCAGCGTGGCCCTGCCCGCAGCCCACATCCTCCCACAGCCCTGCCCCAGGTGGGTGCCAGCCATCTCATCACATCTGTCAGCTTAGAAGTCAAGGGAAAACTCACAGCAAGTCAAAGACGACGCCCTCGGGGGTGCACACCGGATAGGCGAAGGGCTGCAGAGAGAGACTGAGGGAGAGCGTCACCCCGAGCCCCGCCCTCCCCCAACCCGAGATGCCAGTGGGGCAGCTGTGGTCGGGGCCCGCCCACCCCTTGCTGCGGAGAAGCGGGGCCCTGGTGGAGGTGGCTGGGCCCGGGGTTTCCATCAGGAGCCCTCGAGGGCCCTTCTGCCCCGGCTTGTTTGTGCCTCTGTCTCCCAGGTGTCGGGTGGGGGGCGGTCAGGCCCTGGGACCTGGACTGCCCGGCAGCACCGGCCTCGCCTCCCCGGACACCGCCCCCAGGAGCCGCCCTCTGCGGCCCACCGCTCTCCTCCAGCTCCGGATGCCGCTTGGGGCTGACCAGAGCAGGAGCCGACGCCAAGGCGAGCTCCCAACGGCAAAAGCGTGAACATGCACCTTCTCCCAAAGGGGCCTCCAGGGCACGTCCTCCCCCAGAACGCCAGGAGTCACAGAATGGGCAGGACACGGAGCCTCGGGCAGGCTCAACCGCTCACAAGGCCACACTCCCGGGAGGCGCGTGACAAGGCTGCTGGCGGCGGGCAGAAGCGCGGCCGCCCACGCCGGAGCCTCACCTGCTCCCTCAGCAAGTGAGCCAGGTGAAGCCCTCACCCCACGGGGGCCCTCCAGGAGCCCCCTGGCTGCCCCTGCCCCCTCACTGCCCCGCGCCATCTGCTTGACCAGCCTCACTGTGGTGCTAGGGTCACGGGAGAGTTTGGCCAGCTCTCAAGGCTCACCCTGGCCTACTGACTCAGAACCTGGTCGGGGGACGGTGTGAGGGGGCGGTGTGAGGGGGCGGTATGCTGTGCAGACACACGTATGCAGGACAGAGCTGACCACAGTTCAAACTTGGGGAAACCTGGGCCCAAGGGGATCACCAGACCTGCCCACTCCCCCAAGCGCAACGAGGGAAAAGGCCTTTGACCGGCTCTGCAGCAGTGTCCCCTTCTGCCCTGACAGTGACCCCCACAGTGAAAGGGGGCGAGAGGGCCCATGTAGCACAAATATTGCTGCTGCTGCTGCTGCTTAGACTCAGGACCAAAAGGAAAGCGAGACAGCCCAGAGCTCAGAGCCAAACCACTTCCTGGATGGGACACCTGGGCCAGGGAGCTCAGCCCTCCCAGCACGGATCCTCTGGGCTGTGCGGGTGGCCTGAGGACAGAGAACACCCGCCTTGAGAGGTGAGCACCAGGCTAAAGACAGGGCCCTGGTCAGAAAGCCACCCAGCTCCTTCCACTGCTGGGTCCTTTCTCTGGCCCCAGGGAAGAGGCGAGTGGGGGACGCAGACAGAAGCCACCCCGGCATCTCTGGGGATCAGGTTCACTGTCACACAGGAGAGTACTCCAGAGCACTCGCGTGAGAGAGGGGAAGCTCTCCCAACTCCTACCTGCAGTGGTCAAAAGGCAGACGACGAAAATTTGTTTGTGGAACATCTGTGTGAGATGAAAACAAAGGTTGGGAAAAATAATTATTCTGTAAAGAATTTCACAAATGTGCTCCAACAAGTCGACTACATTTTAAGAAAAAGTGCATGTTGGGACTTCCATGGTGGTGCAGCAGCTAAGACTCCATGTTCCCAACGCAGGGGGGACCCGCATTCCAACCCTGATTGGGAAGCTAGATCCCACATTCCACAACTAAGACCCAGCACAGCCAAGTAAATAAGTAACTTTTAAACAAATACATAAACAAATAAAAATTAAAAGTGCAAGTAAGTCACAAGAACGAAACGTAACAGCATGGGGCTGCAGTCAGTAACACCCACTGACTGTGTGGTGACAGGTGGTTACCAGACCTATTTTGGGTTTTTCTTTGCAAAGTAAAGAAACATCAGATTACTGTGCTGTACACCTGGAAGAAATAGAGTGTTGTAGCTCCACTATAATAAGAACAGTAAACCCTGCTTAAAAAAAAAAAAAGAAAATGTTGACGTAAATTACGTAGTGCAAAAACTGCTGTGGCCTAAAACAGACGGAGCCAAAACATGGGGTAGACCAAGAAAGAGCTGAGAGAAAAAGCGCCGATGACGGGCAGAAGCCTCCCGCAGCACAAGACCAGCTAACCCCTGGCTGCGGGCCCCGCCGGGCCCCGCCGTCCCCCGCCGTCCCAGCAGACCAGGCCAGCAGCCAGGGGGAGCGCGCTCTCCTGACTGCAGCCATGACAGCCTCGGTACTGCCCTTCTTTGTATTACTAACTGGATAGACATTATTTAAACCCATGTTTAAAAAAATCACCAAAAGAAAAAAAAAATCGCCAAAATTAAAAAAAAGAAAAAAAAAGGCACTTCCCTTGTAGTTCAGTGGTTAAGAATCCACCTGCCAATGCAGGAGACACAGGTTCGATCCCTAGTCTGGGAGGATCTGACATGCCGCAGGGCTACTAAACCCATGCACCACAACTCCTGAGCCCCAGCCCCACAGTGAGAGGAGCCCCCACTCACAGCAGCTAGAGAAAGCCCACTGGCAGCAACAGACCCATCACAGCCAAGGGGAAACCACCACCAAGATTAAGCATCTCCTCCAATATCTAGTGTGCCTCCTCTTTTGTGAGCTGCTTCCTCAGCCCATCTGTCCACTCTAGTTTCCATCTTCTTGTTAATTGTTCACTTTCACAGGCTCACTCTACAGGGAAGACACCATCCTTTAGCTACATCCACAGACTCAAAGGGAACAGAAGGATTTCACATCTTACCTGGTTTCTTGCCACCATAGAAGTGAGTGTATTCAGCACAGGTGATGTACCTGAAGAGAGAGAGAACCTTACTACTTCCCCTTTCATAAAGAAGACAGAGTCTCTGGAAATAAACCAATGACCTGATCACTTCGCTCATTTGGCAAATACTTATTAAACACCTACTACGTGTCAGACACATTGTGATAAACAGAATACAGATACGGGCAATACACAAACCCGTAAGCAAACCCAAACAGTCCTCCTGTGCAGATGAGCTCAATTTAACAGTAGAGTTAACGGTGAGAAGCGGCTGGCCACATGAAGACCTGGGGGGAGAGCTTTCCAGGTAGAGGGACCTCGCATGCCCGGGGGTGGGGGCTGCTGAGGAAGGAGACTTGGGGCGTGGGTGCGTCACCAGGGTCCCCGGGGGCTGTGGGAGGACTCTGGAGTGGCTTCAGGCAGGATGGAGGCACTGTGGGGTTCTGACAGGGCCCTGAGTCCTCAAATCGTCACTCTGGCTGCGCTGTGCAGAGGCTCAGGCAGGAGGCAGCAGAAACCGATCAAACAGTGACTGCAAAGGTCCAAGACGGAGCTGGCAGAAACTCCACCTGAGCGGATGGGTGGACCAGCCAGACGCGGTCAGCTCCTGGACGTGCCAGCAGGACTTACTGAGGGACAGGAGCCAGAGGGAAACTCCCAGGTAAAAAAGGCACTTCCCTTGTAGTTCAGTGGTTAAGAATCCACCTGCCAATGCAGGAGACACAGGTTCGATCCCTAGTCTGGGAGGATCTGACATGCCGCAGGGCTACTAAACCCATGCACCACAACTCCTGAGCCCCAGCCCCACAGTGAGAGGAGCCCCCACTCACAGCAGCTAGAGAAAGCCCACTGGCAGCAACAGACCCATCACAGCCAAGGGGAAACCACCACCAAGATTAAGCATCTCCTCCAATATCTAGTGTGCCTCCTCTTTTGTGAGCTGCTTCCTCAGCCCATCTGTCCACTCTAGTTTCCATCTTCTTGTTAATTGTTCACTTTCACAGGCTCACTCTACAGGGAAGACACCATCCTTTAGCTACATCCACAGACTCAAAGGGAACAGAAGGATTTCACATCTTACCTGGTTTCTTGCCACCATAGAAGTGAGTGTATTCAGCACAGGTGATGTACCTGAAGAGAGAGAGAACCTTACTACTTCCCCTTTCATAAAGAAGACAGAGTCTCTGGAAATAAACCAATGACCTGATCACTTCGCTCATTTGGCAAATACTTATTAAACACCTACTACGTGTCAGACACATTGTGATAAACAGAATACAGATACGGGCAATACACAAACCCGTAAGCAAACCCAAACAGTCCTCCTGTGCAGATGAGCTCAATTTAACAGTAGAGTTAACGGTGAGAAGCGGCTGGCCACATGAAGACCTGGGGGGAGAGCTTTCCAGGTAGAGGGACCTCGCATGCCCGGGGGTGGGGGCTGCTGAGGAAGGAGACTTGGGGCGTGGGTGCGTCACCAGGGTCCCCGGGGGCTGTGGGAGGACTCTGGAGTGGCTTCAGGCAGGATGGAGGCACTGTGGGGTTCTGACAGGGCCCTGAGTCCTCAAATCGTCACTCTGGCTGCGCTGTGCAGAGGCTCAGGCAGGAGGCAGCAGAAACCGATCAAACAGTGACTGCAAAGGTCCAAGACGGAGCTGGCAGAAACTCCACCTGAGCGGATGGGTGGACCAGCCAGACGCGGTCAGCTCCTGGACGTGCCAGCAGGACTTACTGAGGGACAGGAGCCAGAGGGAAACTCCCAGGCTTCTGACCCCAGTGAAGGAGCCAGGGTGCAACCACTGAGAGGGGAAAACAGGGGAAGAGCAGGCTCAAGTGCTGACAGTGAACGAGTTCCTCTTTGCTTTTCAATGCAGGGGGTGCAGGTTCCATGCCTGCTGGAGGAGCTAAGATCCTGTATGCCTTGCCGCCAAAAAACCAAAACATAAATCAAAAGCAATACTGGTACAAATTCAACAAAAATGCTAAAAAAAAAAAAAGTCCCTTCCAAGAGCAAAAAGTTCCTTTCACAGCGGTGCTCACTCACTGAACTCCAGAAGCCCATTGGAGCTTCCAGGGGCGGTGCTGTAAGCCAGGCTGGAGCCCCGAGGAATGTTAAACAAACAGGAAACGTAGGGAGGCGACCTAGGAGGTAGGGAGGCGACCTAGGAGGTCTGGGAAGGCGAGGACCCAGCAGAGGGAACCCAGAGAGCGGCCCCTCTGAAGAAACCCGAAAACAGCGGTGTCCCAGACACCGAGGAAGGGCTCCAGAGGGAGAGAGGTGGTCAGGCGCGCCCTACAAAGCAAGGACGGAGAGCTGACCCCCGGATGGAGCCCCACCGGAGTTAAGGGATCCCAAAAGGAGCAGTGTGGGCAGACCCTGACTGAAGTGGGGTCAAAGGGAAAGCAGAAAATTGCAGGTCGACCCAGATCTTCCTTATCTCGTCAGTCAGTTCAGTTGCTCAGCAGTTGTGTCTGACTCTTTGCGACCCCATGGACTGCAGCATGCACCAGGCCTCCCTGTCCATCACCAAATCCCGGAGTTTACTCAAACTCATGTCCACTGGGTCGGTGATGGCATCCCACCATCTCATCCTCTGTCACCCCCTTCTCCTGCCTCCAATCTTTCCCAGCATCAGGGTCTTTTCCAATGAATCAGTTCTTCCCATCAGGTGGCCAGAGTATTGGAGCTTCAGCTTCAGTATCAGTCCTTCCAATGAATATTCAGAACTGATTTCGTTTAGGATGGACTGGTTGGATCTCCTTGCAGTCCAAGGGACTCTTAAGAGTCTTCTCCAACACCAGTTCAAAAGCATCCATTCTTCGGAACTCAGCTTTCTTTATAGTCCAACTCTCACATCCATACATGACTACTGGAAAAGCCATCGGAGAAGACTCTTGGAAAACACTCTTGAGAGTCCCCTGGACAGCAAGGAGATCCGACCAGTCCATCCTAAAGGAAAGTAGTCCTGAATAGCGTCTCACTGTTAAGAAAATCAAAGAAACTCGACTGCAGCTGGGGGGCCCAAGTGGGTTTAACTGGAAGATGCTAGAGCTCGGGAGCGCATCGGGGGTCGGGGGACGAGACCGCGCCCGAGGAGACCCGCCAGGAAAGAGCTGGCGAGCCTGAGAAGCCGAGGGGACTGGACCCCAGAGACCCGCGCCTGAGGGGGGCGCCCCGCGACGGACCGCGGAAGTTTCCGGCGAAGCGACGTCGAAGGGCCGGAGAGAACGGGAGGCCGGAGACCAGAGCCCGATGGGGGTTCCCTGCGGAGAACCGCAGAGGTTTCCGGCGCAACGGCGTCGAAGGGGCGGAAGGACGGGGCCCCGGAGACCCGCAGACCTCCGCCTTAGGGGGCGCCCCGCGGGGGGCCGCGGAGGCTTCCGGGGAAGCAGCGTCTAGAGGACCTCGGGGACGGGGCGCGGGGCGGACAAGCCCGCTCCTGGCGGCGGCGACGGCTCAACTCACATCTTGTCCTTCTGGTGCTGTCGCTTCCCCATGGCGACGGCAGGGTCAGCGAGTGCAGAAAACAGGTGAAAAATACACCTCAGACCGCGGCGTCCCGGCCGAACTCCGTAACTACTTCCGGGTCCCGCTGACCCGCCCCGGAAGCGAGCTCTGGGCACGTCGGGAACTGTGGTCCCTGGTTGCCCCCGCCCCCACCCCGAGCGCACGCCCGCCGGGCGCGGAAGCTTCCTGCGCTCTGAGGCTGAAGAGTTTCGGTGTTGAAGCCTCTTCGTTCCTGCACTTCTCTCTGCACCGCCTACCTAGCGTGCCTGCCTGGCCCCAGCTCAACGCCATCCCCTCCCAAACCCGCCCTGGTCTGACCTGGCTTCTCAGGTCTTCCGCTCGGAGCCCCTAAGGCCCCCGGGCCTCGGCCCCATCTCTGCCCCAGGCCGACAGCTCCAGATGGACGCCCACATTCGCTATCCGCCCTCTCACCGCTCACCCGGACCCCACCCCCTGCAGGCCCTCTCTCCTGGGCGACCCAGGGGCAGGTAGCCATCAAGCCCTTAGATCCAAAGCCCTCACGATCCCTTCAGCCTCTTCCCTCCGCCAGACCACCGCGTTGGGGTGCCCCGGGCCGAGCCTCAGACCTCTTTCTGCACTCAAGCGCTGGGTGATCTCACCCGGGCTCGTGGCTTTAAACACCTGTGTCCCTTGCTTCCCAACACTAAATGGCGAGCACTCCTGACTCCTGCCCTCTAATCAGGCACCCAGTGAACTCGAATTCAACATGTCTGCTAAAGCAGAATTCTCTTCCCCCTCTAGGGTCCGCTCTCCTCGGGTTACCACTATCCAGCCATGCCGGGAGCCAACACACGAGACCCTACCCATGACAAGATCACAAGGGAGAAAGCCTGACGGGCAGGGCGGATCAGGTTTTCAGGGGTTTCGAAAAGGCCAGCTCACGAGATCCCACCCATGACAAGGTCACAAGGAGAAAGCCTGACAGGCAAGGCAGATCAGGTTTTCAGGGATTCCGAAAAGCTGCCCCCGGCGCTCACCTTAAAGATGGTATCTGTCTTTCTGATGCCTGCCTCAATGGACTACTCCCTAATTTCTGTGACACAGGCAGAAGGCCTTCCCCGATCTCTTCCCAAATAAGAATCAGTTTAGAACTTTAATCAATAAGTTTCCCGGGTGGTGGTATTTTTTCTGTACTATTGCCCTATGAGACTGCTACCTTTCAGTTAAGGTCACTGTAGAAACAGACAATAAGTTTACATTCACCTGACCTGCATAAAATGCTAATAGGCCCCAAGGCCAGAAGATAATGTACAAGACCCTCATAAACAAATAAGTATGCAGAAAACACCCTGGTTTCGTGAAGGACAAGCTGACGTAATGTTAAACTATCTTCCCCTCAGAAATGTACCAACTTAGGGTATAAAAGCTACGGTAAAAAAATAAAGCATTGCCAGACTCTGCCAGACTCGGCTGCACCCTCATCTGGTCTCTCTCTCCCCTCTCTTTCCATCCTGAGACTTGGCCCTATCAAGGCTGGTCTCATGCGTCTTCTCTCTCTCACCGAGGCTGTTCATCCTGAGGGTACCCCCTGGATCCTGCCGAGGCTGGACCCCAGCACAGCCAGTCACCCTATACAGCTCCATCTCAACTCCCTCAAGGGCTTGTCACCACTTGTAATCCTGTGCTAACCTATCTGTGTGCTGGCTTACCACACACATGCATACACACACACTCTCTGTCTGTCTGCAGGGTGAGACATAACTTCCCCAAGAGCCAGGATCCCAACTACTTGCCTGCTATCCCCAGGCGCAAGCAAGGCGTGTGCGTGCCGTGTGCTGCTGCTTCAGTCGTGTCTGACTCTTCAACCCCATGGACTGCGGCCCGCCAGGCTCCTGTCTATGGGGTTCTCTAGGCAAGAATACTGGAGTGGGTGGCCATGCCCTCATCTAGGGGATCTGCCCAATCCAGGGATGGAGCCGGTGTCCCTTGCGTCAGGCAGGTTCTTTACCAGCAGCGCCACCTGGGAAGACCCAAGCAAGGTGCAGGGCATGCCTAAGGGCTCAAGCACCATCTACTCTACCCGCCAGCAGCATCGGGCACTTCGAGGAGACTCACATCCCACATGCCGGTTGATTTTAAGGTCAGCATGCAAGGTGATCAGAGTCACATGTCTTTGAAACTCTTTAGGGAGGCGCCAAGTTGGAAACCAACTCACTGGCTCATTGTCATCCCATGGGGGCAACAGACCACTGTTTCTAAGGCTTGTGTTTGGGGGCCAGGCATAGCAAAAACTGGTAGTCTTGTAACTCAGTGGGATCAAGGGAGGCCCAAAGGGGTCACAGAGTCACTCCAGTGCAGGCAGCTCCCCTCACCCACTGCTCTTTGAGAGTGCCCAGGGCTGAGACCCTGGGTCAGGCGCAGATGAGGGCATGGCTGTGGGAAGACGCCAGCAGGGGATTTATTCATCCTCTGGCCATGGTCTGCACAGAAGAGGTGATTGGTCCCTCTGGTGGGGCACGGACTCCGTGCTGCCAGGGTCATTCGCTGAGTCATCTTTGGGTCTGGGCACAGGCTGGAACTTGAGCAGGACAGGCGGGGTGAAGATGGAAGCCTTCAGAGACGAGGACGGCACCTCCTCAGCGGCGGCAGGGCTACTACAGACTGAGGTCCTGTGCAGGAGACACAGAAGACATGGGTTTGGATTCAGGAGGCGCACACAGGGCGAGCAGAGGAACACACCACGGAACCCAGGCCGTGTGATGGTCTCGCTACATTCCTGCTGCTGGAAACCCCTCACGTGGGATGTTTGCTCAAAGCTGTCCATCGCAGCAATGTTTGTGACTGTGTAAACCCAGAGGTGATCCAAATAGCCATCAGGGCAAGCGGCGGTGTGAGCCTGCCTTGATTTACAAAAGCAACCAATGCATTGGGACTCTTGTATTTTATGTATTCATTTCTGTATTGTGAACTTTTCCCCATAGAATATGTTCTGCTTTTGTAAACTTTTAAAAAACAAAAACAACCCATTTTTGGTGATGGCACCAGGAGGCAGCACAGCTCGCTCAGAGAGCAGCACGTGACAGGATGCGGAGAACTGTCCCCACTAAGGGAATATTTCAGCACACAAGAGTAGTTGAGTGAATGATGCTCCGTCCACACAATGGGGTGGGTATCCTGCATTTATTTCTGTTGAGTTTCTAGGCTTTGGGGGGGTCCTGGGTTTGTTTTTCTTGGTGTTTTTACAGTCCAGGTCTTTATTTTTACACCCTTCAGGCCATGAATTCATAGGGAACGGGTTCCAACAGTTCAGGTTCCTTTCCATTGGTCCTCACAAAGTGTGCTTCTCTGGGTGGAGCAGGCTGGCACTTCAGCTGAACCCAAGTCCCTTTCTCTTTGGCTTCCTTCTTTTTCTGATCATTTTCCTTCACACATTTTAGGAAGCTATCTCGGCTCTTAGAGTGCTTAATATGCTCGATACGCACATTAATTCTCTTGGCCAGAATCTTGCCCTTAACTTGTTTGTTTACAATGATGCCAACAGCATGCTGGGTAACACTGTAGACTCTCCCAGTTTTGCCATGGTAACATTTGTGGGGCATTCCTTTCTGAACAGTACCCATTCCCTTGATATCTACAATATCACCCTTCTTGTAGATTCGCACGTATGTGGCCAGAGGAACAGCTCCACGTTTTCTCAAAGGCCTAGAGAACATGTAGCGGGTGCCCCTCCTCTTTCCCTTCGTGTTGGTCATTTTGGCGAGTTACTGGAAGATGGTGGTTCTGGCCGAAAAGGGGTTTGGTTTTTTTTTGCCACACCGGGCAGCTTGTGGGATTAGTTCCCTGAACCAGGCATTGACCCTGGGCCCTGCAGTACCGAATCCTAACCACTGGACCACCAGGAATTCCCGGCACTGGTATTATTTTAAATGGGGGAATTATATGCCATGTGAATAATACCTGAAAAAAGCTGTTTAAAAACAAACAAAAAAGCCCTCTAACGTAATGAAGCTGCAATCTCAACACTCAATGACATGGGAAATACTTCACAAAAAAAGCTAATTTAAAATAAAAGAAAACCACACATTCAGGAAACACCTGATTTGCAGAACCATGTATAGATAGATCCCAGGGCTGCCCCCAGCGGATGGAATCGCTGCCTTTATGTTGGGCGTGGGCAGTTTGGTTCCGCTTTCCCACCATTACAAGCACTGGGAAGGGGCAGCCTCTCTCCAGCTTTAGGGTCCCCGATGACAATAGGGCACCTCCCGGAAGTGGGAGGGGCCACCACCCTGCACTTCCTCCCAGGGAGCACTCACCAGGGGAAGTGGAGCTTGTGCGCGTGCTTCCTGGTCAGGTACGAGAAGTGGAAGCCCCCGGGACTGAGGACCAGGGGGGTCAGGTCGACCATGTGGCTGCAAGACAGGGTGAGGCAGGGGGCTCAGCCTCGGTGCAGGGGGGCACGGGCCGTGCACGAGCGGAGGAGGGGAAGGGAGCACTCAGGATGCAGGAGGAACATCTGAGAGGGAGGACTGGATCCCGGATGGGCCAGAGAAGAGCAGTTTCCCCTAAGCCCTTCTGTAGTCTGATTGGGGCCCCGAATGAATCCTCCCACCTCTTTGGGTTTGATGACAGGCAAGTCCAGTTTAATTTCACTTCAGACCTTGAAACTTCCACTTTCTCCAGCTGCAGGAAACAAAGGAAACTGGACAAGCGTGGGGTCCTCCTCGGGAAGAGAAGCCCCTTCTCCAAGAACTAGGGGGACGCTGTGCCTTTCCGCCAACGGGCAAGCATGCCAGGTCATGCTGGCGGCCAGCTGGGGCTTGGTGTTAGGGGGACAGGGCCTGGGAGCTCGCAGAGGAGGCCCTGGCCCTGCCTGGGGGCAGGTGACGGGTAAGGGGGAGTCAGGAAGGGCGCCCAAGGAGGAAGGGCGCTGCAGAGGCACTCCGAGGGCAGCCTGGAGGATGGCCCCCGAGGGGAGGTGGGCGGCGGGCATCCCCTGGGAGCCCTGAGGTCCAGCCAAGCGCCCTGAGGTCAGGCAGGTGTGGTCCCGCGCACCCCCCACCCAACACTGCGAGCAGAGCGGCCCTCGTCATCTGCTTGTCTACTGCTGCCTGCAGAGAAGGTTCTGGGAGCCTCTCCCATGGGGCCAGTGAATCACTGGGGTGATTCTGAGCAGGGTGCAGAGGCTGCCCCTCCGCGGACCACTGACCGATGTGCTGGGCAGCGGAGTGAAGGGGCCAAAGACCCTGGGCATAGAGTAGACAGCGGGTGGCGGGGCCGCTGTGGAGGCCGTTGCGGCAGCAGGCGGCAGCGGTGGTGTGGGCAGCGGCAGGGCTGGGGGCAGGCATGAGGAAGTTGAGCTGTCCTGCAAGACAATGCGTTCCGGGTTCTTCGGTCTCCGCCTCCTCCTCCTCTTCTTGGCATCTGGGACAGGAGGCGTCGGTGAGCACCCACCCCAGGCCTGGCCAGGTGTGGGAGGGCAGACACAGGCCCACACAGGGCACCGGGAGACCACGCCCTAGGCCACCGTCGACGGGCACCCACACGCACCATCTCCCTGGCCCCTCGGCCGCCCCACAGGGAAGTCCGAACCACCCAAGGCACAGGCCAGAGCCCCGCCAGGTTGTGTGCCAGGACAGAATTCCATGGGGAGTGGCGGACTGTCACCACCGAGGTTAGCCTGCCATCCACCCTGGAGTCACCCGCGGTGGAGTCTGCCAGTGCCCCCGAGGGGTGTCCAGGCCCCGGACAGTGAGCCCACTAATGCCACCCAGCCCTGGGTCATCCTGGGGGTGTGCAGAGGGCCCACGGGGAGGTAATCCGAAGTGAGCTCAGGGAGACACCCGGGGCCTCCCCGCGCCTCGCCCCTGTTCTCATGAGTTTGGGTCTTTCTACGGTTCAAATCTAGAGCCCATCAACATCGTAGGGGTCAACAAGGCCCTCAGGAGAGAATGAGCGCTGCTGGGGGTGCTGATGGGCTATAAGGCTGAGGGCCTGCATCTGGAGCAACCCTGGCCTGAGTCCCCATTCAGCACCACCACTCCTGTGTGGCCCACATAGGCTGGGCAACCTCCCTGGGCCTCCATTTCCTCTTCTATAAAACAGGAAAAAAATAAAAATAAAACAGGGATACATAACGCCACGATTCTGAGATGGGCATACCAGACTACCTGACCTGCCTCTTGAGAAACCTGTATGCAGGTCAGGAAGCAACAGTTAGAACTGGACATGGAACAACAGACTGGTTCCAAATAGGAAAAGGAGTA